TTTTATACAACACATACAGTTGTCAAATGTATTTCAGTAGTGGAAAATTGCCCTTCATAATTCCTCCCCCCCCCCCCCCCCAAAAAAAGAAGAGTTTTCTGGTTTTCAGACCTATTGGCCCGAATTCACATTCGGGCCTTTACGTTGGTGCTGTGGACAGAAAGGTGCTTATTATAAATATCTACACAAATATGTTGCTTGCTCTGTAAATCCTTGAGTTCAAATTGTGTATGGAATTTTGTTTGAATGTAGTAAGTGGCTAGTCGATTTCTATCTCCCAAATTTAAATTTGAGTGTCATGTGCTTTTAGTATAGACCACATCCTACAGAAGTGAAGAAAGTGATTCCCTCTTGTACTTCGAATCCAATCTCTAAATTCTTTTTGGTTTGTACAGAGTTGAGATATGTTGGTGTTTGGAGATGTCATAATTTGTCCAACTATTCCAAGTTGAACGGCAAGGAAAATAAACGTAGCATGAAGATGTCATGGGGGGAGATTAAGCGGAATGTGGTTCGGGCGGAATTCTGTCTGTCTGTCAGGATTCTGAGAAAAGAGATAAAACCCGTCCCCTTGAAGGATCGATGGAAGGCGGTTAAAAACCCTCAGTAGGCCTGTCCTCATTAGCTCGAATTTGCCAAATAACCCGCTATTTTAAATATCCCGATCGCAAATTATCCAGCTAATTTGCGTCTTCATCAGCTCGCAGTTGCAATTAGCAGGATATTTGGTTGACAAAGTATCCCAAGAAAACTTGGTCTTGTTTTTGAAATATCCCGCTATTTGGGAAATAGCAGGCTAATTTGCGCCCGTCCGAGCTAGTTTGTGATGAGCGTGTCTGTCTGGTGAAGACGCAATTTCAAGCTTCGGGATAATATCCAGAGTCTGAAATAAGCGGGTTATTTGGCAAACTTGAGCTGATGAAGACAGGCCTAGTGTATGGTGCGAATGATCTAGAACGTACATCTTGACTTTTAGCCATTCAATGTCTACTCGCACGTATTCCTCTGCTAAGAGCCGAACAGGTATTAACTCTTTATCAAAATACAAGAGGTAATTCCATTATGGTTTCTAGGAAATTATTTCTCCCACTCTGTATTTATTATTACCATAAAGTATATGAGCCAGCCATGCCACAAGATTTAATTGATTTCCCAAAGTTTATATTAGATGTGTGATTCTTATTAGGAAAAGTTATTCCTAAATGCTCATATAAACATGAGGTGGTCAACTTCCTCAATCTTTTTCCTCTTGGTCCACGATATTATGAACTGTCGAGTCGGTCATATATATTACTGTATGGATTTGACGGTTCATAATAAGGCCAACAACTTGATAAGAAGTTTTGGAGAATGGTGAACTTATTGCTGTACTGCAGGACTTCAATTTTTTTGAAGGTGTCTTTGAAAGGCACGCGATGTTGCCTTCAAGCGGGTAAAAGGAAAAAAAAGGAAAATCTATCAAAATGATGAAATGGAAGTTGAATAAATAGACACTCCGGATATGAAATCATCAATCTAGGTTTAGGAATGCGCCAAACGTCTCTGAAAAGTGAACAAAATCGAGAAGTTGATTTATAGGGGCGTTCTTGGGCCATGAAAAGTGTTTTGACAGTTTGTATACGAGCCTTGAAGTTGCGCTCTTTTTAATAAGTGGGCCAGGTTCACGTGCTCTTCACATGTTGAACTCTATTGTTTCAGGATTTTATCGTTTCTTTTGTTCTCTTGGCCTTTTTTTTCTCTTATTTTTTTCTTTGCATTATCATTCTTTCTTTTCCGTTATCTTTTTTGTTTATATTCAAAATCTTTGTTTAAAAATCCAATTTTATTATCTCTCTCTTTTTCATGGGTTTCAGAATGAATGTAACCATTGTTTTTTAATTTTTTTCATTGAAGTGGGGATCCAAGATTATATTAACAGAGGAAGTAAAATCTGAAAGGATTTTTCCCCCCTCCCCACACAATGGATATGTCCCTGAGTTTTTTGATAGTGAGGTTATTGTGTTTTCCCTTCTTGTGTCTCTTTTCCTGTGATTTCTTAGTTTTATCAGGTGGGCTGTATATAATACAGACCACCTTATATTTTTGTTAAAATCGCCTTTATTATTTATTTATTTATTTATTATTTATTTTTCTTATTTCGACCCACTTTTTTGTTAGCAAAATAACTTTGTAATGGCTCAATCAAATGCTTTGATATTTGGCACACATATGTATAGGCATATGGACAAAACACGGTAAGGTTTTCAACCTTGACCTTGACTGATGACGTCATCTAGGCGCCATTTTGTGAAATTTTCTGAAAATCAACTCATGATCATATCTTCATAACCAAAATTCATTTCTCATTCATATTTATCATGATCAAGGTCAATATCAGTCCGGTAAATTTCAGGTCAAAATACGCGCGCGTGCGCGTACGTCCGCGCGTCAGTGCGCGCGCAAAAAATTTAAATGCTCAAAATCGTCTCAAATTTTTTTTGCATACGTTTTAGGTCATTTTAAGCATTTTATAAAAAATCGCGCACACGCGCATGCGCGCGCGTTTTCGCGCGTAACACCATTACACAACATAGAATCGCCATTTTTTTTTCTTTCATGATATTCTCATATTTTTTCGAGGAATTTGATACCGTGTTTATCTCTTTATGACCATTAATAACAAGATGAGCGTCAATTCAAGATAAATGTCCGTGCGCGCGAGCTCTTTTATTACATAGCATATATGGACAAAAACATGCCTATACAAAATCCATTATAGCTCTTTGGAATGAACCGTGACCTTCAATGTTTTTTCATTTTTAAATAGAGTATGAGTCGGAAATATGATTCGATGTCTCATTTGGCCATTAAGTGTATCGTGACATCATCATAATGGCCTTGGAACTCAAAATACGAATTTGCATATTATGAAGTCAGCATATTTATGTAAAATTGATTGTATCTCTGTATATATTGATCGATTTTCTTCAAAATTTCGATATGTTGTAGCTAAGATAATTCTCTTCAAGTTCAATAGTAATCATTTTTCATTTGATGACGTCATCAGAGTAAAAATTTCGATTAAAGGCCTCATGTCAGAAATTTCACAATTTGCGTGTTATGACTACAGAAGGTGAATTTCGTTCACGTAATGAATCTACATGATATTGTTTATTAAGAATTTTTAAGCAGTTTGTCGCTTATTTTTGCTCTATTTTGTTTTAAATTTTAGTTGACCAGCCCACCTATACTTGTTCCAAACAAGTATTATATGTCTAGTTTTGGTCTTGTTTTCATTGTTATATTTCATTGGTTTATCCTGGAAAGCACTCTACCATTTTATTTCCCCTTTACAGTATCTGACTGATAGAAAAGTGGTATGGTAGAACATTTGAAAAATCAGGTCTTTGTGTGTAAGAAATAAGTTGCAGAACATTCAGCTAATATGAATTGCAAATCACTTTCTTCCTTTACATGTGAGATTTTGTCAATTTGTAGCTAAATATATCTCTTATGAAAGCCTTATGGGATAGACTGCTATTTTGCATTGTGTTGAATTAACAAAATGGGGTTTCTTTACTTTTGTTTATTTCACAAAATGTACTAAATAGACAAGTATGTAAACAATCCATTCTCAAATTAAGGGATACAGCATTGGTGATATTTTTCATTAATATGATTTACCACTAATCTGTATTATGTTTGAGTGGTATGAGATGTTAGTGGGTTTTATGTATGAAAGGAATTCACTTTTGACACACTTTTGTTGTTGTTTTTGGTTTGAACATTTTATATAGAAAGTAGAAAGAATGCTAAAGGAGTTCACTTGGTACTGGTTTCCAAGCATTGATTTACATTTTATTTCAGAATGAGAAGCACATGCGCTCCTCATGTATTAATCAATTGTGTCCACGTGGCCTTCATTTGCCTGGCTTTGCGCTTGCTTTATGAAGAAAGAAAATGGTTGACACTCTAAATCACAGATTAATTACCCGATATGACATAGTGTTTACATTCCACGAAGAAGACGTGTTAAGATCGCTCTCACTCGCTAGGTGATAACTCATCCAGAACTAGGTTTAAGACCTGTTTTTGCGGGAAACCTGTCTGGATGTTTAGGATATACAAAGGTCTTGACGCTGAGAAGCTGGGGTGATAAGTGGGGCAAGAAAGAAGGACTGGCAGAAAGTGGGTCACTGGGTTAAGCTTGGGTAACCGATTTAAATAAAAATTGGGTTTAAGCCAGAATATGGTTTTGTTAATTGATAGCCTCCAAAATGCACTCGTTAAACTGCTCATGATTTTAGATAAACAAGGTCCATTTTAGTGCATATACTTAAGACCCCGTTCTCACTCACTTCGTTGGAGCGCTTTGGAGCGCTCTAACTAAGACCCGTTCCTCTGGAGCGGTCTAACTAAGACCACTTTCAAAGTGAGTGAGAACGGGGTCTAACTCTCAAGTGTATATTATTATTGGGTAAACATAAAATGAGATCATTTTAATATGTGTCTATTTCTTGTGTTTGTTTTCATTGTTTCAGAATCAGATCAACTTTTGATTTTGAAAGATTAACCTTGATGCCAAAGGTTTTTTTCAAGTAAATGTCTGAAATGTTAGGTCGATATATTCTGTTTATGAAAAGATTGTTCATTGTCTGAGAATTAACAATTTCCCTCTTTTCTTATTCATTTAGAAATCAGTCCTGAAATCTTTGATGTGTACAGTATCTTCTCCTTCTTCTTCTTCTTCTTCTTCTTCTTCTTCTTCTTCTTCTTCTTCTTCTTCTTCTTCTTCTTCCTCTTCTCCTTCTTCCTTCTCTTCTTCTTCTTTCTCTTCTTCTTCTTCTTCTTCTTCTTCTTCTTCTTCTTCTTCTTCTTCTTCTTCTTCTTCTTCTTTCTCTTCTTCTTCCTCCTTTTCTCCTTCTCCTCCTCTCTCTCTCTCTCTCACTCATTCTTTCCTTCCTTAATAACATCACCAGAGGATTAACCTCCTTTTCTTTCTCTTTCTCTCTTCCACACAGGACGACACGTTGAAAGAGCAGATGAAATCTTTCCTTCTCTCCACAGCCAGTCAGCAGGAGATCGCATTATTGGACAATAAGGTATGCTAATAAATATCATTATGTTTAGTACTTCCAAGAATTGAAAATACTTCTGTGTTCTAGCAGTGACACAAATGAATTCAACTTCTCTCTTGACTACTCATTGTTTTATATACACAACTACACATGTAGATGTTCAGACATTCATGTTTGTTCTGTCGCCAATTTCTCAACAGTTTTCTTTTATCAGGTATAAGGTTAGGTTTAGGGTTACACTTTGGTTTTAGGTTAGGTTTAGATTCCAGGGCTGAAGGTATGGATTTGATTAGTGTAGAATAGTGGGAATAGAGCAGTAGTCAGCAATGTATTGTTTCTCTCTCTCTCTCTCTCTCTCTCTCTCTCCCCCCCTCTCTCTCTCTTCTCTCTCCCTCTCTCTTTGGAGGAGGAGGAGGAGGGGGAGGGGGAGGGGGTATAGCACAAGGCAAAATCATCACTGTTGTTATATCATTATTCCTTTTGGATTATTAAAACCAGATTTTAAAAAAGGAGCCCGTAGAAGATCTTATTTCCATCACCCTTTCACATTGACAAGATGATCCTCAACACCTTTATCTGATCAGGAATAAAGCTTGCAGGCTTTGTGGTATAGGCCTAGGGTTGTTGCGTGTGTAACCGGGCTTATATATATTGTGCCTTTGGGACTAGGAGTGTCAGTCGCATAAAACCATCTTCAGTCATCTTGGAAGGTAGTCCTTCAGGTCCCTGGAGTACCTTGAGCTTTAGATATTGGGCCAGTGATAATGGTGATAATAAGTATATTGGATAGTTTTGTAGTGCTTGTATCCACCACATATGGTGGATATGAGCACGTCATTATTACTTCGGATTAGCTCTGCTACCGATTTCTGTGCTCGTATTAATTCAAGGAATTCCTTCCTACCAGTACCCTTTCAGCTCCTGTGTGGAGAGTAGCAGATGTAGATTAATGTCTTTGTGAAGAAAAGAGTCTGAGCTTGAAGAACCTAGTCTATTACTTAATTGGGTCCAATGATCCCTGCTCATCTTAGAGTGATAAGCTTGAGCAACAAAGCATGCATACATATCTCTCTCTCTCTCTCTCTCTCTCTCTCTTTTACTCTCTGTCAGAATAACAATGGGTGATGTTTCCTTTAATGTGAATCAACTTTCACCTTGCAACATGAATTACAGTGTCCTCAGTCGTAAAGACCATTACAAATTTGGGGAGCCGCTGAAAGCTGGTCAGTGCCTGAATGCTAGAGGGCAGCATACCACTTAAATATAGGGTAGTACTGAGATAAGTTATGAAGTTGTTCAAAACTACTTCAAATTTGTTTGATAATCAAAGGATTGATGCCAGTAAATTCATGGATACAGATAACAGTATTCATTTGTGCACAATAAACCTTGATACTACTTACTGTACTTATTTTTAATACCAGCTGACTATCGGGCATGCCTCTTGTTCCATGATTCGATTCTAAAATTTCTCATAAAATAAGCTTTGCTAAATAATCCAAATCATAGTCACATGAGCAAGGTACACAAGTTCAATTTTTTTTTGTCAGTGCAGACCATCTGAGGAGCTTTCCATTTTCAGAATATACTCTTCAGACTTTCTGCAAAGCTCCTATTTAAGAATGCCTTTTTTTTCCATTTCAGATTCATGAGACAGTGGAAACCATCAATCAGCTGAAGGTTCAGCGTGAATTCATGTTAGGGTTTGCCAGAGATCCTCAGCAGTTCATCAGTGAATGGCTGGTATCACAAGTTAGAGACCTCAAGGTGAGTTCACGATGATGATGGTGGTGAGGATGGTTGATAGCGATGATGATGAGGACACTAGTAGTAGTGGTGGAAGTAGTGGTGATGATGAGGAGGAGGGGTGCGGAGGGGGGGGGGGGGCGGTTGATGAAGCTTATGGTAGTTATAATCATTGTGGTGATTGTGATGATTGGATGATGGTGGGAGTAATTGTATCGATGATGGTGTCAACTGGTGGTGGTGGTGGTGGTGGTGGTTGTGATGGTAATTTTGTATGGTGGTGATGATGAGGAGGAGGGGTGTGGAGGGGAGGGGGGATGGTGATGAAGCTTATGGTAGTTATTTCATTGTGGTGATTGTGATGATGATCGGATGATGGTGTCAACTGGTGGTGGTGGTGGTGGTGGTGATGGTGACTTTGTATGGTGGTGATGATAAGGAGTGGTGGGGGGAGGGGGGTGGTGATGAAGCTTACGGTAGTTATAATCATTATGGTGTTTGTGGTGATGATTGGATGATGGAGGGAGTAGGTGTATTGATGATGGTGTCAACTGGTTGTGGAGGTGGTGGTGGTGGTTGTGATGATGGTGATGATTTTGTATAGCAGTGATGATGAGGAGGGGTGGGAGGAAGAGGGGGGGGGGGTTGGTGATGAAGCATATGGTACATGTAGTTATAATCATTGTGGTGTTTGTGATGATGATTGGATGATGATGGTAGTAGTGAATGGTGATGATGATTGGATGATGATGGTAGTAGTGAATGGTGATGATGATGTTGAAGAACTCCTGAGAGTAGCAATTATTATGAAGAATAATACAAGAGCAAATATGATTCTATTCTGTGAATTCAACAACAAATTTAATTTTTCTCTCTCATTCTTTCTCTCTCTCATTATCTCTCTCTCTCTCTCTCTCTCTCTCTTCCCCTCTTTCTCTCTCTCTCTCTCGCTCTCCCTCCCTCTCCCTTTCTCTTTCTTGCTCTTTCTCCCTCCCTCCCATCCTACCTCCCTTCCTCCCTCCCTCCCTCCCTCCCTCCCTCCCTCCCTCCCTCCCTTTCCCTCCCTCCCTCTCCATCCCTCCCTCTCCCTCCCTCCCTCCCTCTCCCTCCCTCCCTCTCCCCCTCCCTCCCCCTCCCTCCCTCTCCCTCTCCCTCTCCCTCTCCCTCTCCCTCTCCCTCTCCCTCTCCCTCTCCCTCCCTCTCTGCAGTGCATGACCGATGTCGTGAACAACCCGGAGGAGGAACGCAGGATGGACTTCTACCACCAGCCCTGGGCCCAGGAGGCCGTTAGACGTTACTTCCAGAGCAAGGTCCAGCAGCGCCGTGCGGAGCTTGAACAGGCCCTCGGTATACGTCACACATAATCAGAAAACATTCCTCCGAAATCCTAACATCTCGTTGAATTTCATTTCTTACAATGTAATGATCAGTAGGCATCCTTTCGCAACTTTTTTTTTTGGAGGGGGTTGGGCGGGGAGAGGGTGGGTTCCTGACTGAGGTAATGTCGTATACCGTTTGTTAACATCCGTATCACTGACAATATTGTTTTATGTTTGACCAGTCTAGTCTATTGTCAAAGCGCAAATTTCATGATTCTAAATAGCAAGATATCAGTCCTGTTGCTGTCCATTATACGGTATGAAGGTGGTATGCATTAGATCATTTTCATAATGTAATCTAATTTGATGCACAAATTGTTGTCAGAATCTTGTCAGAATATGAATTGCATACATTACATGTTGTTAGGACAAGCCATAGTGTTTGTCCTACCAGCAACAAAGACCGTATGCCATTTGCATCCTGACTGTTGAAATACAATTATTTGTAACAGGTGTTTGAAATAATTTTGTAACATGGCACTTAACAAAAGCTTTCCGCAATAGATTTGATTACATTACAAAAATGGTCTATTTCATACCCTGTTTCAGTGTGCACGGAGATATGCCACACTGTTGTGACGGAAAATGTATATTCATGCAGAGAGAAGATGAATGAAAATTTAAAGGGACAGAATCTGTGGCTACATGCACATGTACCTCAAACATTTGCATCATGATAGCCTGGGCCCGTCTTATAAACGGTTGATATTAATCGTAACTTTTTTTTGCGATTCATATCAATTGTAACTGTGTGAATAAGTCATAGGGGACTGCAAACTTGTGATTGATTAGGGGACTTGCGATTGATTTGGATCGATTGCAACTCTTTTGCATCGTGATTGTCTGATTCCAGGAGGGATATGGAACAATATTCTGTAACTACAAAGCTACAAATCCTCTTGAATTTCATTGCGACCTTGACTGGATAGGAGTCTATTATTAAACAAGTATGAAACACAAAATAAATCAAAGCAGTTTCCATTTGAGGAATCATGAAATGACAGACCTCTGTGCATTTATGTATGGGAATGTGTTTACCGTTTGGCTTCTAGTTTTAAATTTTCCTTTTCTATTATTTTTTGAAAATGTAAATAGCCTCTGTAACTATTTCACGTATATCCTCCATCTTTTGTTTAAATGTACAATATTTTTTGCAAGCTTACAGTATTTTGCCATTATTTTCAACGAGAGGTACAAAATATTGCCATTTTGTTCTTCGAGTAGACATGGTTCATGCATAATTGTGTAGTGTCACCAATATTTTATAAAATGAAGTACATGTATTAGGTTAGCGTAGTGTATTGACATGTGTTTTGTAGACAACCTCTGAACTCTAGAGGCTCCATGGAAAAAAAATGAAATGTTGCGTTATTATTTTTGTTTGTTTTAGTTTCTCTTAAGTGCATTTGATAAAGAGTTTGTGTATTATGTCTCTATAAGCTGTAGATCTACAGCCCAATTTCAGGGAATCCATATATCAGAGCCCTGTTTCATGAAACTTGATATCAAGAACAAGTTCCAATAACTGTTATACTAAAATCGTGGCATTTAATTGGCTGATAGCAAATTTGTCATACATTTTAGCATTGTTTATTGATAACAACATTTATGAAACAACCCCTTGATTGTATGCCATGGTTTTGTAGTGCAGTCTATGCTATTGTGAGGGACAGGTTTGGACGGGTCAGTTTTATTTTTTTAAGTTATGAAAATTTTTCATACTGATTTAACTGATTTCATTGAGGGCGTGCAAATACAAAAAATTGCATAATGATGGCATAAGAAAGACTGTGTAAATCATTGAAATCAACACACTAGCCGATGAAAGTGTAAATTAAAATGTTTTCCTCCATACAGATAAGCTACCCGTAACTACATTCTTTGTCTTCTAACATGTAATAAAACCAATTTGAGTTCATTATTTTACTTTCTTTTCATAATTTAGTTTCATATATTGTTAGTAAAGATGCATGTGTATGATGAATGATTAAATAAAGACTCCAAATGTCCTTTCTAAAAAAGTTGAAATATTGATTTGTGTTTATTTGTATGAAGACTAGTGTATGTATGCAGACAGCCGTGTTAACTGAAGAGTTAATACCACTTATTGCTCGTGTTAACTGAAGAGTTAATACCACTTATTGCTCTCTGCTTATGATGTGCAAGAGGATGATGATGATGATGATTGATGTTGGTGATAGTGATGATGTGGATGATGATGTTGATGATGGTGATACCAGATGATGATTGATGATGATAGTGATAAACAGAGGATGATGGTTTTGATGGTGATGATGATGGCAATGTTGATGACGTTGGTGATTAGGCGATTGTTATGATGGTGATGACGAGGATGCTCGAATCTGCTGAGACCCACAAGAGTAATAACTTTTGTACAAAGTTAATACCTTCCTTGCTCTTGATAGATACCATAGAGAAAGAAGATAGATGGAGATTACGGTAATGACTATTATTAGAATGATATACAGAAACAAGTAGGAAGATGCCGATTCTGATGGAAGTTTCATGAAAGAGTCTAAAGCAATCAAGTTGAATGTATAAATCATTTAAAGATCCATAATTTCCTCTTCATTTGTATAGTTTTCCTCGCACCTTTTCTCATTATTTCTCTCTCTGTTCTTCCGCTTTCAATCAAATCATGCAATCTTGTGTATCGATTGCCTCCCACGCAGAGCAACACACACTAGATCCAAAAAAACGAAACTCACAGTATGTTTACGATTTTATACAAAAATTACATTCACCTTTTTATTTGGTATGGCAACATAACAGTACTATAGTGATAAAAATGCTTACAAGATTATCGTAGCATGTGAATACAATTTTTTAATTGCCTAAGTTTAAGTTTGCCCCCATAAATTTATTTGTATTTTCAGGTTTTACCAAAAATAAAGCATCGACTGTACCATCCTGCAAAACCACAAACTTTCACGTGCATGAGATGTTCGTAAATTTCAAGAGTAGTTCAGATTAGCAAAAGATACATGCTACAAAAAATGTAAAACACGATTTACACGACACTAAATCTTTGCAGTTCCCACAAGTTTCTTGCCATGAAAAAAACCATCCTTAACAATTTAACAATTTGCTTAAAATGTCATGATGCAAAAATGTCTGGTTTTGCAGTATTTTGCGATTTTAAAATCAAGTGAAAACTTGGAATTCTGTCATTCATTATATTTTTCTGTATCGTTTCAAAGGATTTGATCACATGATGTACGCAAAAATATTAAAATTTTGATATCTCAATAAGTGTTTTTTTTTTGGGGGGGGGGGGGTTGGGGGGTTTACCTCTACAGTTTTGTATCTTGACTTTTACATAAATACAAAAGATCATAAATACCAACTAAACATAAGATGGCAAAGTTAAGTGATATATCTCCCATTATTAACCTTAATATCAAACGCAACAAATACTTGAACAAATAATTACAACCATCACCCAAAATATACATGATAAAAATTCATTTGAAATCATTTCTATTCCATAAATTACAAACAAATCGTGAATGATGAATACATGTTGATGGAATTCTAGAGTACTACAAACACATAGTTACGTAACATAGTCCACGGTATATGCTTTGCTTTAAAAGAATGAATGAATATGGAATTTGATATCATATTTTTGTGAAAATGTTAGTGATAACATCATACAATCATTTTTAATTGATATACACTTGTATCCATACATGTAGTGATCTGATGTAAATGAAATATTTAGTTTTCTACTAGAAAATATATATATATATATATAACATGAAACTTATGAAATAACTGTTATTCTATTCCTCTTATACCATTTAAAGTTGTCATAATTTTTTTCACTTTACTCATTTCATGTCATTCATATTACAATTCAAAATACAATCGTCAATGTACTTGTTTATCTAAAATACTGGTAAGAAATGATTACCTGTAGCTTATCTGTTGAACTATTTTTATACAAATTTGTTTCATCTTCATTGTTGTTGCGGCTTGATCAAAAAGCTTCAGATACATGCATGTAATAAATTATGTATTATTATCATTATCATTGCATTGAATATGAAATCAAATTTTTCTTACTCCTTAAACAGGGGTGTCTTTTTTTACCTCTTGGACAATTTATTCATATTACAGTATTACTTAAAATAAAGTAGACACATTACCACCAAGTCACACCAAGGTCTATGGGATTATGCATGCAGTCACGCGTGACACAGTGTGAGACTGTCTACTTTATTCCAAGCAATACTGTACGATAAATATTTTGTCATTGTCCTTGTGATAGATATTGCAATGATAAATTATACCGGTACCCGTTTCTATTTACATCTTTCTCATCGTAATGTGAAAATTAAACTAGTGTACACTAGAAATCAATTTATAGTTTTCTGTCATTGTTTAGTTGGAATCTTGCACAGACCAAACATACATGCAAATGTACACATGGTTTAAAGAAGTGAACTACCGAAAATAGATGCTCATATAAACATCTGATAATAAGACTATGTGTTACATGTATATATATATATATACAAATTGTGAATACTTTAGGAATCATTCAAAGTGCAGCAATTCACAAAAGCACAAACAAACATTCAAATAGTAAAAGATTAACTTGATTTTCTGCTGGGTTACTGGAATATCAAATTACATGTTTTCAAGAGTAGTATGAAAATATTGAATTAAAATCAAAATTGTCTTTTTTGTTCTCATTCATTGGAACCTCCAGCACTTAGGAATGAAAGTCAGTGAGTGTTCGCATATTCAACTACCAGACTACAACGCAAGATTCTACACGACCACATGAATGCGAGGAATATAATCAAGATTAAAATAGTTAACTCTTCCTGGGAAGGCATTATATGTTAGTAGAAGCCCTACAAGTAGTCAAATCCTTTCACACACATATTAACTGTAATCTTTATTCTATAAATTAGCTTTTGATAAATATATAGAGCTTAATTAAAATACTTATGAATTCATTGAATAATATATATTATCTGTTTATTTCCATTATCTACATCTAATAATTCTTAACTACAAGTTTGAAATATTTACTCCTTTTAATCATAGAGAATTAGTAAAGTACTTTCTGAATTATGAATAGTGTCCACTTTCTTTTATATTGCAATTTTTGCCGAGTGTTTGCATATTCCCTTTAAATCTATATCAATCATGTGATTGAAAATTCTTGTATATTGTAAAACAGGAATATCTTTACTATAAGCACATGACAATATCCTGTGAGCAATCTATTGTTATAACGAAGAAGAAAAACATGTGACCTGTTCCCATGACACAAAGAGGACATTTCCATTTAAAGCCTGTCTGCACTATATTAGCCAGGAGGAATTAGACCACCCAGCATGGTCACTGAAACTGAAAGGTGGTTATCTCATCAAATCAGCTCAAGAGAAAAAGGGGATCATGGGGGACCAGCCGTCACCGATTAGGCATTGTTTGCTATATAGAGGGCGCAAGTAGCTATAAGTAGCGCAGTGGGGCTTTAATGCTTATGTTATAAACTATCAATATCTCTCTCAGGAACCTTGTTGGTTCTGCTTGCTTTTTAGAAGTTTTTTCCCCAAAGGAAATGATTATCAAGTATCCTAGCTTGTTTGTGAAGGTAATCCTTGAGTTGAGGTCATTAGCAGTAAAATAAATTCTAGGAGAAGTTTAAAATGAAACTTGCACTGAATGTTAATGGCTGCAAATAAAATACTGCCAGCCAAACAATTTTGGTAGGAAGTATGTAATAGATAAGCAATCAGAAAAAAGATAAGGAAATTGAGCTACATAATTTTATAGCCATGTGATTCATGATCAGAAAATGTAATATCCCACAGCCAACAGAATTTTGAAAGCTTTTAACAAAAAATTTGGTATATTCTGCACGTTTTGGCAGGTTCAAACAACGATTACACATCTTTTGTATACCGTAATAAACCGTTAGGAATAATTTTGAGTCAAGTTTCTTTGAAAATTAATTTCCATTACCAGAATTCAAGATTAACATGAAAGGGATATGGATATCATCAACGATTATCAAGAACTGTCAAATAAGCTGAACTATACTATACCCCAAAATTGAAGCTGAGCAAGGCAGAACATGACCTACAGTATGTGATGACTGCAAACTGAGATACATTTTTCTGCACTATCAAAAATCGCGCTATATTAATTCACTTCATGAAAGATGAATGACAGTTAATGTTGTGCTAAGGTATAAACATTACCCTGTCTAGATTTTATAAATTATTTTAAAAAGTATCCTCTTGTTGCCATGGAAACAGGTTAAACATGTGCACTGTAAAATCAGCAACATTCACAACATGACAGTTTCTTATTGTGTTAAAACAGCAGTTCAAAGGAACTTGTGTGATTTCCTAAAATTCAGTAGTGCGCAGTATTAAGCACTTACAAGTGTACAAATCTGAACCACTTTAGAAATCCACAAAAGTTTCTTTCATCCCTCGTGATGCCTGTTCAATTTTCATGGGTGAAAAATATATTGGGGGGGGGGGGCTATTTTCTCTATATTCTTTTTGTATTTTTTTTTTAAATAGCCTATTTTTCTCCTCTTTTCTTATGGGGAAAAAAATAAAATAGAACAATAACATATTTTGAGGACACAGGTTTGGGATAAAAGATAACTGGTCGATGAAAATATATTCAGAGTTGAAAAAGGTCTAAAAATATATTTTCTGAGCTGTTTTTTTACATTTTCCGACTTGTTTTTCAAATATTTTATATTGACTACAGATGTGAAAGTTTCTGGTTGAACAGTAATCCATGGTTTTATTATATCTCAAGGGTTTGATGCGCTATTCATGCTACAAGGTTAGACTGGTCTGTGGACAGTACAGGTGGGCTGGTGACAGATGGGGTGTATGGGGGTGGGGCGGTGGTAGGCACTGAATCGGGCGTGGCCGCTGTCGGTGCCCCTGCGTGGGGTGGAGGGTACGCCATAGCAGCGGAGGGAGGGTATGGCATGGCAGCCGAGGGGGGATACTGCACCGGGATGGTACCGTCGGCGGTAGTTGTATGGACTGGAATGGTGCCGTCGGGTGCTGGGGCGGTTGACTGAGGTGGCATGCTGGCTTCGTGAGGGGAGTAAGGCGGAGCTGCAAAACCATAGTTGGGGTACCCGTAGTCTGCCTTGGGGAACTGATCTGGCTTACCCGTAACCTGGCAGAGATTTAAAAAGAAGAAAAGTTAATCATTATATCTCCATTATAGACAAACAACATAATAATAACAACAAAGAGTATTTGTAATGCACCAACTCATGCTACAAAACATACCACATTTCCTTTTCATAGTCAGCTTTAGTTCTTCGGCCCCATATATATTACCCACCAAAACTAAAATTTATTATATAAAGTTTAAAGCCCTTATCATAAATTTGATGAGGCCAAATATCAAGTATAGTTATACTTTTTATATGATTTTTTGCTTATTGTTACCTTACTCTTGGTGACATACAGGAGAATGTAAAAATAAAATGACCAAATACAATGGACTTGCCCAATCAGGTTTCAGTCATTCTGAGTATGCCAAATATGGTGTCTACAGACATTGATTATATAAAGCAAAACAGGAGGGGACAAACTCTGGGCATCTTTCAAAATCTCATACAGCCCTAACCGTTTCTTCTATTAAAGCCTATTAATGCCCATAATATATTTTAAAATATGCTTCACAGGAATTGATTGCTGAAAAAGGGTTAAATAAATAGTCACTGATACTGGTTGTGTACGTCACACTGTTATCAGCGATAATATGTTGATCTTTTCCTCTGCTTTTTTTTCTGGGGGGGGGGGGGGGGAGTGAGGTTGAACAGTTTCTTTTCTTTGAAGATTTTCTACAACACGTTGCCATTTGAGGATAAAAATACAGTGTCATGTCAAATTAAATATGTTAATCTCTTTCTAAGAGTGGTTGCCAAGATAGCTCTGTACTTTGGCCAACCAAATCTCCAGGAAGAAATGTGTATGTTTGTGCGCTGACTCTTAAAGAACAAAGATAAACAGTTTATGATTAACTAGCGTCCTCTCGTTTCTATCTACATCTTCACAAAAGGCACTGGTTCAAAGGGCATTCTCCAACTAAATATCTATGTAGGCCTACACATTACACAAAGCTGTTAAGTTTAGAACGCAAGAACAGTAATGCTCATCTTTTTCTGCTCTTATCAAAATCAAACAATTGTTATCATAATATTTATCATAACCCCATTATTGTGCTCACGATAACTCTACCAGACTTCGGACATACATACATGTCATGTACCGTATGTGTAAATCATTGATGTTTTGAAGAGTGCAACAAGCTTTCAATGAAAAATAAATGGACATTGGACATCCACATTTGACAAAATGACAACTTTATTACAAGAAAAAAATTGCAACCTCCATGAATTGGATGATTCCATGAGATATCTCCTAAATGACAGTCGATTGTCTATTTATGTCATCAAAAAGTGAAAAAACAATCTCTTTCTGCGACCATTGACTACCCCCAATCAGACAATCAGTACATAAAGAAATGTGTGCTAATGTCCCATATGACATACATGTACATACACAACGATCAAATCAATAAACCCAGTTTATGATTCTATTTCATGTGATTTTATTGCATAAGATTTTATTGCGTATGATTTTATTGCATATGATTTTATTGCATAAGATTTTATTGCATATGATTTTATTGCATATAAGCTTGTTTGATGATGATAAGGAGAATCATGTTCCATTATTATTAGGAATATCCAGAAGACGTCCAAAGTAAACCAAACCATTAAAATCTATGTGTAAATGTTTGTCAACACAATTTATGTAAACACATCATCTGTGACATAAATCATTCTAATATGCTCTTTGACACTTTTAAGATTGTCTAATCTTGAGAATGTGTACCTACAGGGGTATATGTATTTGCACTAATTTTGAAATTTGAATTATCATGTACCGGTATTTAAAAGCCTTTGATGGAGCTATACCTATTCTTCAAACTTGGCATGATATCTACAACCTTTCATCTTTAGGTGAAGATACAGTACATTTGAGCTAGTTATTCTTTTAATTGGAAGGTTGCAGTTGTTTCTATTAGAATAGCTTTTTCCTACATGGTTCAATGTTAAATTAGGAAATATCTCCCTTATGTTTTAAGCTTTAGTTATCAACAGCATTTGTGGGATCTCTGCTGTCTCTCATGGTAACAAGCCTTAACCCTTTAGCAACTAAACCGCCCGATACCGCCTGTTTGTGTTCGTCCATTTTCAACGTGCTATATTATCTGTTCTAGGGTCTATAGTGATAATGTTATACGTGGGTAATCCTTACGATGTCTACAGTAGGATTCTGCATAGAAAGATAGCGCATGTTTCATATTGCTCAGAACAGTGTCAAAATGAGAGCAATATTGCAACATATTCCAGTGAGAAGTGAGTAATAGGCTATTTTTTCCAAAACCTCTAGTTGCTAATGGGTTAATCAACAGATATATTAATTCCTTCCATGTCAAGGGCAACAACTCCTGTCCAAGAATTTTTAGTGTTTAATTTACTTTGACAATTAAGAATGTTGTTTTTTTCCTACCTAAACTGAAACAGGCTCATGTATTATTGCCATTGAAGACATTTTGTCACCTAATTATTACAATTTTGGTAAATACATTTCAGCTCTATGTTTTAGTCTAGAAAGTTTATTTGTGAGAAATGTTAATAAATATGATGGCAAAGAAAAGGTTAAGAGTCCTGGGGGTTGTTTCACAAAGATTAAGATCCAATTTAAGTTGGACTTTACTATTGCAGGCTGTTCATGCCACTGTTTGCTCTCACCGTTATGATCTTTAGATAATATTTTTTTCCTTCAATAATGAATTATAAAAAATGTAAATTCTGTATATTTGTGACCTTGATTCGTACATCCCTTGAGAGACAAATTCCAGTAATTGGTGAGAGCAAACAGTAGCATGAACGGCCTGTCATAGTAAGTCCAACTTAAAGTTGATTTTAGTCTTAGTGAAACACCCTCAGGTCTGTTAACCTTACCTCATTGGTGCTCCAATATTTTCCCCAGGCATTATCTTGTCAAAGGTATTGATTGGGGCTATGGTTGCAACTGGGGTTTCAGTTAGGTTTGGGGTGACGGTTTATAGGGATACGTTTAGTGTTGGGTCAAGGGTCAAATTAGGACTTTGGTTAGTGTGGAAAATTATTGCAGGGGAATTGTTGCAGGAGCAATTGTTGCATACAACCCACCTCATTGTAAGCTGGAGGACCAGGGAAGGCGCCTACTGGTGTTGCCAAGTTGCTTGGATGGACACCATACGTGGTAGGAGGATGATGAACTTGGGTCCCGGTTAGGTGAGCGGACCGTGCCAAACCCTCTTGCTGTCTCATGTAATACTGTCGCTTCTTGACGTAGCTGCAGGCTCCGCAGCAAGTCATCATAACCATGATGATCACAAACCTGATTGGTGGAACCAAAAATGGAACATGTCAAAGACATTCCCCTATAATTACTAATGGTAATTAAAATAAAAAGCTAGAACATTAATTGTAACACAGTTGCATACACGCACTAAATGCCATTCACCATGTCGTGTATGCAGATTGATGCCATCTACTGAGGTACATGGACTACACAAATTTCTGATGAAGCTTGACTACTAAACAGTTGATGACAAATTAAAACAAGAAATCACGTCCTTCCAAGAAAAAATGAAAATATACTGGTCAATTTTAACCAAATACAATAAGGGTACTGATTGCTTTAGCCAGAAATTTTCATTTCCCCACTGATTTGTGTGCCACATGGTATTTTGAACATTTGTAAAGAGGTTTGTTCCACAATCAACCTGCAGGTATTCTATAAATGCATAATTCGAACAAAAATATGTCGATGTTAAACAGGCTTTATGCAATTTTGTTCTTGCCTTCACTCCAACTAAATTTGAATTTGATTCTAAATAGGTCCATGAGTGCATTTGTAAGTTGGAGAAATGAACAACATCTGCTGGAAGCATACATATTCATGATTATGTAAATTTATGTGCATGTGCATTTGTTAAGTAGGAGAATTGGAGATGCAATAAACCACTATAGTCGTGGGTAAAACTTAGTTGTTTTTCGATAATACTTTTGCTGCTTGAGTATTCGAGAGTTGTAAAGTGCAGGAGGGGTAAATGTTAAATAATATGCAACCTTCTCATTGTAATACTCTCGACAGACATACATTATGTAGTGGCTCATCGAGGAAGCATATATCTTACCAGAAATACCACAGGTTGTAGAATCCATAGCCGTAAGCATATCCATAATTATTTTCACCTGCGCAGCAACCATCCTCACAACAATGCTCATTGTAATCACATCTGTAAAGACAGAAAGAATAACGTGATTAAAGATAAACTCCAGTTCTGTATGGTAAAAAAAAGAAAATTAATTCTCACAGAATCAAACGAAACTTACACTGAATGTTCAAGATTACAAATAAATGACATGTGCCAGACAATTTTGGAAGAAAATGTATACTGGCTGAGTAATGAGCATAGAAAGACAAGGAAATCAAGGTAGTACTAGCCCCAACACCATGTGTGTTGTCCCATATATAGCTTTCTGTGCACAGTGCTTGTTACTTTACCAAGACTCGGCCAAATTTATTATGATTTTGATGACTCCAGAACCTTGCAGTGCACACCAATACTTACATGCTACAAGATCAACTGTTTCTGATCCATTCCACACCTTTTTCTTTCACAATGCAATCGCATTACCAGTACTCACCTTTATCTTTAAAGGACATACTTCAACAATTTTGTTTGTATCCAGAAATATAGAATACAGCTCATTTTCCACAGATTCTTCAGACTCAAAGACCCGTATTCACAAAGGAGGTTTGTCGACAAACCTAGGTTTATGTGCATCACATGACGCTCCTTTGTAAATGCCTTATTGTCCAATTAAAAGGTTTGTAATAATAAAAACATTAATAATCTTAATACTACTTCTACTGTAACTACTGTTACTACATATTGCCTCTAGAATCAACTGTCCCCGACTCCCCGGAACATCTGAACAGCACCCACACTAAACACCTTTAAGAAGCACTTAAAGACATATTTATTTTCTCAGATTTTCTCAGATTTTCCCAACTGTATACCATGTAAAGCATGTGAAATCAATCGTGTGAGAGCACTATGTAAATGAAAATATTATTATTATCATTATTATTACTACCACTACTACTACTACTACTACTTCTACTTCTACTATTACTATTACTACTACTACTACTACTTCTACTTCTACTATTACTACTACTACTACTACTAATACTACTTCTTCCACTTCTACCAATAATAATACAATCGTATTTATCATGGGTAGCCTCTGATCCTCATCAATACAAATACTGTTACTACTATGGTGAGGCACTCAAGCATTCAAGGAATTCCTTCCAAGTTCCTACTAAGTACCCATTTAGTTCACCAGGGTGATTCCAAAGGCCTTTCATTCTGAAGGATTATATACTGTACAAAGGTTTGTGATGGTGAAGGTCTTTATCTACATTGCTCCTCTCCACCCAGTTGTTAAATTTGTACTTGGTAGCCAGTGGGATGCGATTGTCATAATGGTTGGATTAGCATGTGCGCACTTGCAAAAAGGAGACTAGCTGGAATGCTCCCCAGGGAACGGAGAATGCACACTGTAATGTGCAGAATCAAATGACCAAGGTAATAATACCAGGGAGAATCACAGCTCCCTGATAATATGGTAAGACTTTTGGTCAGTTGAGAGTAAAGTTCTTGAAAAGAAGCAAATATTATTGAAGAAAAAAAATTCCCAGTGTTTCATATCCCACCGCTGCCACCATATCAAAGTAACTTTTTTTTAAATTCCGAACCATCGCTGGTTTCGGGAAACATTATCGTCTGTTTGGAGCTAGAAGAGTGTTAGCACTGACTTAACTCCCGTATGGCACTAACAGACGATGTCTCCTTTACTCAGGGTACTCTCTAAAAAAAATAGAGTGATCATAGACGTCACTCCTCCAGAGAGTGAAAATGTATTGAAAAAAAAAGTGAACATTCACTCCTTTCTTCTTATATAGAGAGCACTCCTAAACAAGTGATCACGGACGTCACTCCCAAGAAAGTGAAAATAGAGTGAAAATTCACTCTTTTTTCCAGAGAGAGTAAGCTTAATGTGCATAATTTGCATATGCTAGTTTGTGAAACCAGCAAGGCAGCAACCAAATGCCGCTTTGATGACGTATCGGTAATATCAATTTCTGGATATTCTATAGGAACTGGCATATATTCATATATTTGCAACTATTAAAATCATCCAGTAACACGATGCTCTATAATATGCTACAGTGAATTTATTTGTATTTTCTGGCTCAGGTGTTCAAAAAGGATTGCACAATCTGAATTAATTTCATTGTTTTCTAAACTGTAATATACTTAATACTCACTCTATTCCAGAAGGACATATTTCAGCAGTTACCTGTAACATGAAAAACAAAATGAGAATATGTATAGTATACATTAATTTTTTGACAAATCAACAGGTTACATTCACATCAATAACAAAATGAAGCTCTCATAGAATATTTATATCACATGTCAAATATCACGAAATATAGGCTAGGCGTACTAGATGCTGAGGCCAGGATTGATGTCAAAGTCCTTATTTATATTCCCCAATATTATTTCACTATATTTAGTTTTTTTTTTCACAGCTGTGTTAGTGATCCTCATGCTTATAAAAACGATTGATTAATATAATTTAAAACACACAGAGTAAATAAAAGTAATGAGCAATGGCTATATCCTGTATGGGAAAAGACTCATCCACTTGCAATTTTGCATGAACACCTGTGGGTAGAGTCTATGAGTGGTAAAGAAGAAACCACTGCCGTATATGTGACAAAATGAAGAGTTGCTGTACGGAGCGAATGGTGGTTTCCTATTTTACAATATGGCATAACATTGACGAATCACAAAATATTAGTTCATACAACTAAATTTCTCTTGTGGTACCCTGGGTGAAAAAGAGACCTTGTCAGTAAGTTCAAATTTTTCGAAACAGATGCAAAAGACAGCAAAATTTGCTGTTCTTTTGTCAATATTTTCAAACCCCAATTCCAAAGAATCTTTAGTCTCGTCTCTTTCCATCGGCATCGGTCTATCAAAATTTAAAAATCTTACCAATTTATTTAGATAGTGAACCAAGGTCTCAACCCACACCACCATCAGCATTACGATATCCATATTACTTGTCATGCTTGCGCTTGTTAGGCATAATATTATGTTATAAAGGCGTTTATTATGTCAGAAGAAAAAGAGAGAGAAAATTCTTCACTTGACATAATGTGCGAACAGGCCGAGCTGTGTGATGGGAATATTATCTTTCATTACCCATTTTCTTACATTACCTCGTATATTAGATGAGTATCTTCCATTACAATACAGATTACTGGACAAAATCAGAGAATTATACTCATGAGTGGTATATACCACAAGTTGCACAACATAAAGTTGATAAGGATTGTTTCGTTCAGTATGGAATATACTAGTAATATACCATGATGATGTTGCATAATACATGTATTGTTGGCATGAAATGATCATGATGATGTATACTACTAATATACGGTGAACCTACGGCCTGGTAAAAACTTACCGAACATATAAAGTCTAATAGAGTGACGAAAATCAACGCCGTTGTCGATACAATATGTACCGTAGAACCCATCAGGATTTAGTAGATTATAATTTCCTCAGGAAAGATAATAACTATTAAAACAAATGCATAAACGAGAGAGCTGACTTGTTGACTTCACGATGTGCTGGGCGTAAACAAATATAATGTGTTGGTGCAATATACTGCGCGCGTTATAGGTGTATAGTGCATACGACTAGTTGTCTACAAGAGTGCCTTATAATTTATAAAATGGGGAAATGGGAAAATAAATTGTATGATAAGTGTTTAAAGAATTTTAAAAATAGATGTTTTGATTTCAAACGCAGTTATTTTTAAATTCATAGCCCAAAGTTACACAAGTTTGGTATACTGTTCAAACAAATTATTACTTGAAGACTGAAACAAAACTAATAACAATGACGTAATGCTAATATAAACAGACTGTTGTGAAACACTCCGTTTTCCCTTATATGGGGGAATATTCTAATTTCTTGGAAGAAAAAAAATATATATATAATCACCGGATATGGAATCCTCACGGTGAATGTCCCCAGGACATTGCTGTCTTACAGATGTACCAGCAAGAAATAAATGATCGAAGTCCTAAATCGTTAAAACAGTAATACAATTTTATTAATTCTTATGCTCATATCTTTTTCCAGGCATAGGCTATTATAGATAGGGTATTATGGAAAATTAACATTTCTGCGGATATATTAATTATTATGTCGTTGCTCCAGTACCCAACTCAATGGAAATGGGCGATTTAATAGTTGAGACTAGGCCCATGACTACGGGGGGGGGGGGGGGGGGGGGGGGGGGGGCGGTGCAGACAATTATTATTTGAGGTGGACGTACCCTTTCGTCGATGCGAGGAAGGGAGGGATGTCCCCTCCCAGGAAAGGGGTGTTCAACTGAAAATCACGTTTTAAGGTACTACAAATTTGAATACCAAACCGTTTCGTCCGATTGTTTCTATCTTTCTTTAGTGTTAGCGAACCTCTTGTCGCTATAGTCACGGGCCTGATGCCTCCGATTCTTTTAAATTTGTTTTCCCTCATTTTATAATAATATTAATAATAATAATAATACAATCATTCACGAGAGCGTAGAAACTACAAGAGCTCCTGATATGCTTACTGATTTACAGTTAATGAGTTAATTGTGTCGTTGTTTTTAAGAAGGAGAACTTAGAGAAAAAGATTTAGAATTGGTGAAGTGGGTCTGGTTGCATGCTATCATACCGGCAAAGACAAAGTGTGCATTAGGATTCAACCAATATCAAAGGCCTTGATTCAACTTTACTTTTTTTGTGATCTGTTAGTTGCAGTAGTAGGCAACATCGGGGATGCCAATTCTGAAACTCACGTAACTTCCCATTTAACTTTCATTTTAAGACCTGAAGTTATTTAAAGGCTAATTAGGCTATAGTCTATAGACCTCAAGAATCGTTATCCTGAAAGCTGTGTAATTACAATCAGGTCTCCGGCTCATTTTAGTCCATTTCCACAACATCAGATACACAACGGAAAATGATGTGTATATAATACGGCGCTCCAACTTCAATATTAGCAAAATACCACTGCCTTCGAGATCCGTCCGTCGTATTGAAATTAATCAAGTAATTGAGTTATTTAATTAAACATGATGCCATTCCGTTTCGAGCAGTAATATTGGAACGTCCACTATATGTGACGTATACTATACAGTACTAGAGTAATGACCCAGGAAGAAGAAAACGAGAGAAACAGGTCAGTGAAATTTTTTGATCAAAATCCGATTGAAAAATTAAAAAGTTTTAAATTGATAACGAGTAAAACAGACTGGTAATTGAGCTTCCAGAATACTGCATGCATCCCCTGACTGGGTGAATTAATTGTCACTTTATCCCATTTACAAACTGAGTTCAAACTTGAAGCTAAAGCTTTGAGGCCCATCTTCGTTGAACAGGAATAAACGCGACCGTAGAAGAAATCAAAATATAGAACTAGGGGAGACAGGCATGGGTGTCGATCCGTAACTGATACCTATTCATCAGGGGGGGGGGGGGGGGGGGATGATCTATTCATTCATCCCCCTGATGAATAGGTATTACGTAAGGTTCGACACCCATGGAGACAGGCGTAGATCCGCATTGAAAAAAATGTTTTACATTGAAGGCAGTGCCTTTTGAAGGTTGTAAGGAGTAGGCCTGTAACTATTCTACTTTTATACCTGCATCATACAAATCTACTAAGAGTAAGAATGACATCAGAATTGAACACACCGTGTGCAAAACTTGCGGCGCGAAAGCTGTTTAGAGGGTGGTGTGCAAAACAACGCGGATGCCTTGTAAAACGCCATGTTGGAGAGTTAATTGAAACTGAAATAATCGAGTGATATTTTTTAAATGCGGAGTTTTTCGTTCTTACACTATGGTATCGTCTCGGATTATCGCGCTCAAACATTATGTTATGTTGTGACATACGAATAAACGAAGGTATATGGTCAAGGGATTATATTTAGTGTCACAGTATTATTCCCCTTTTGTGTAGGTTGTGGATATTATACTTCCCTAGTATAGAGAATCATGCAATCAAAACAGCTGAGAAACCGTTCGCCGCAAATTCTGCATACGGTTGTTACCAGAGTAGAAAGTGGTAGTAATTTTATTTTTAAATCTATATTTATGCAAATCGTATTGAGCTGTTTTAGACGTACATTTTTGGTCATAGTATAACAAATTATGCTTCTATGGGAAGCTTTTTTCTTGCAAAAATGTTTTTCACTAAACTTGTGAACACTATTTCTATTAGTTGGTCATAATATATCCTTTTGTTTTAATGTTTTGTTTTTATTTTTTATTATTTCATTATTCAGAGATTTCTCCATCCGGTTTTTCAGATAAAACAATTACTGATTCCTAAAAAATCAAGTCTTCACAGGTAAACTTTTCGGGCTGACATTTATATCACCCTATTTTCACGGTTTAGAAATTAAGATGACCAGTGAGTTATTGACAGAGGGGGCACGTGTCCTAGGCGGAGTGAAGGGGGCGCAAAAAGGAAAAGGGGGGGGGTGCATTCTATTGAGGGTTAAGCATCCTAATAGACCAATATGTACTAATAATTTACCTTGCGTATTGGTAAATTATACATGACTTGTATAAGAAATATTTTTTTTGAGGATTAAATTGCGACCTCGCATATTGCTTCAGTAGGCCTATCCCATAAGTCCACATCCTGAAAAAAAAATGTAATTCCCGTTGACGTGCTTCCTTCAATAAGCCTTTGTAAAATTTGTCAATCTCTTTTTAAATATTGCCCCCACCCCCTCTTGTTCCATGAATAAACAATATAAAGCGGGAAAAAAGGGAATTTGCGCAGTCATGTAGCGTTTTTAACGAACTGGCAATCCGGGGTTAAAAATACTATTCGACCAACTTTTTTTTTCTTTTCTTTTCTTTTATTAAAACAAAACATGGGAAACACATATTTAAAAGATTCGGTGAAGTGAAGAAAAAAATAGTACAAATACAACTACAAAATTGACCAAACTTCTCACTGTTTCCGCTAATTTTGTGTTTTACTTAGTTTTATGTGACTCCAGGTAGATTATATAGTGAAACTATAAAAATAAAAAAAAATTATATACGGTTAGGTCGCATTGCTCCTTCGCTTGTCAAATTATAGGGGAAAAGATATTGTGAATTCAAAATAAAAATCTTTCATATAAATGAGCGCGTAAGCGGTGCCCCTTCGGAATGGGTTCAAGGGAGAAACCCCCGGACGCAATTCATTTCGAGTCAAAGTCAGTTCTCTTTCACATAGGCCTACACACTATGTTCTCCTCGGTGTTGCTTCATGGGAGTCCAGGGAGCGGACCCTCTGGACGCTCTTGATTTTGTAAGAAAATCATCTCTCTTTTCATATGACTATTTTACTTCCATCCGAAGTCTTCGTATACATTTTGTATATATAGGCACATGTAGGACAAGTCGTCGGCAATGTAATATGTATGTAATGAATTGTAAACGTTTTAGTTTCATGTTCTATTTTTGTACAATTTTTTATGATTATTATCTTTTCTTTCTTTCTTTCTTTCTTTCTCTCTCTCTCTCTCTCTCTCTCTCTCTTTCTCTTTCTCTCTCTCTCTGTCTCTCTCATTTTCCTCTCTCCATCTATCAGTATCTTCCTCTCTTTTAAGTGCTTTCTTCTCTCATTTTTTCTTCTGTCGTTCTCTCCTCACCCCCCCCCCCCCCCGGCTTTTTTTTTTTAGGCCAAGGGGACGCTGGGGCGATTCGCCACTGAAACTAGTGTAGTGTGTTCCCGTATATGCTGGCCGTATTTTTTTTTTAATTTGAAAATAAATCAAAACGTGTAAAACTGATACACAGAATTGTTCTTGGTTCGGATTGAATATTGAAGTTTTGAATTTAAATGAATTCAGAATGCTGGTATTTATGTCTACCATGAAAATGTGTCATGTGTCGGAGGAAACCTATATCTTTCACCCTAATATAGAATATTTATGGGAACATACGCGTGTTATTGTAGCATATAAGGTCGAATTAAGTTTTCTTACCCTTTTCCTTTAAAGGATTGTTAGAATGTGATTTATTCTCGATTTTTAAAGTTTATAGTGATTCTATTAAACAATCACTGTGACCCTTAATTGATCAATAACGTTCTGAGAAGTATAAACTCTATATCTATCAAAACGTATTGTCACGAACACTTCATGACAACAGGCCAGGGCGACGATCCCCGGGGGGGGGGGGGGGGACGGGTGTTACACGTCCCCCTCATTTTTTTTAGGGGGGGGGGGGTCGTCCCCCCGGAAAATAAGAAAAGTGCTTAAAAAATGTCTAGTCTTGAAGACTGACTGACTAAAGACTGTTAGACAGTCTCTGGATCGAGGGCCCAAGAGTGCAGCTTTTAATAAAAATGGAACAATCTATAATGTCCGTCAAAATGTAAAAGTAAATATGTAGAAAATCTGTATTCCATTGGTATCACGAAGCATTTCCTACTGAAAGGTCAACCGTGTATACAGAACAGAGTATAGCCTTTCAGAATATTTGCCGACAAAAACATGGGTAAAATGAAGAGTAAAATTTACATTTACAAGACGAGTGGACCGGCCTGAAAGCCCTGACTCCGAACTCCGAAGTGCCCACATGGTATCGTTTGCGG